AGAACAGGGTTCCGGATAATCAGAGTAATACAAACCAACACCTCACAGAACAGGGTTCCGGATAATCAGAGTAATACAAACCAACACCTCACAGAACAGGGTTCCGGATAATCAAAGTAATACAAACCAACACCTCACAGAACCCCGTTCTCACCCTCAACCCTTACTTCAGTTATTGAACTTCTTGGATCTCCCTACTCAAGCTTAGGGGGAGGGGGGTGAATGGGAAGATGGTCCAGTACTTTCTTTGTGGCGCTAAAGATGCAAAGAAATAAAACTCGGGGATCAACAACGTCCAACATTTTGTACGTACCTAAATCTTTTGCGCCGTATCCGAATGATTTCACTCGACTGTCTAATTTTTCGTGAGCAAATAAATTATTTTAAACCGCAATAGCTTCGCGAGTCATCAGGGTTCAGTAGCTCAGTTTGCAGTATGTGTTATACTGACATAGAAAATTCTACACAAGTTAAAAATAACAAAGCGACGGAACGTTACTCCAGCATACTAGAATGTATGTTCTAGTTTGAAGTACGGATAAGTCGTTCTTTCCTTTCATTGTGCCAAAACGTTGTTTACACTTGTGAACTGTTTATTTTTGGCAAATAAAATGGCACCGAGACGAAACCGTAAACTAAAAGAATTGAAAATATAAATTAATAAGTTATTGAAAACCAGCAGTAAATAAAAATATTGCTGGATTTCAAATGTTTTCCCTTTATATTAATAACGTGAGGAAAAACATTTCATGTAGCCGTGAGTAATTCAAAATATTTTACTGTACAATATAGAAATTAAAATCCGCGTGAGCGCGAGCTTTGTGAATCAGCTTCGTTAATTTTATTCACGAGTATCAGAACCGAAACTGGAACTCAATAGTGAAGGATTTAGCTAACAATCTTAAAATACCGTGCATTCCACAAGCATGAGTAACAACAATTCGACCCGGTTCCACGATTAACATCTGTCAAACAAATTCCACATATCGCCAACCCCCCTTTGTGTTACCCCAATATGTAACCCAACTATGAATGACACTAACGTGGACAAGCAGTTGGAGAATTTACGAAGAAAAATCATTTCTGAACTAGTTTGTTCAAGATTACAATTCACCTCTGAAAATGGAAAGTCCCTCTCTCAAGTACTCCCTTGACTTCTATAGTTATGATTGGCCTACTTTTATTTAAGCTTTACGTGTATTCAAATATCCCCAAATATATTTTAAGAGTAATTTTTATCAACATCAACACGTACGTACAGGTTTGATAATAGGCTTAATCACCTCAGACTTTAGTTAAACATTTCAATTTGGCTAACGGTCACGCATGCGCAATGAATATTTTTAGCTAACGGTCACGCATGCGCAATAAATATTTTTTGCTTCGCGTATAAAAATATCTTTACTTCATACACCAACATCGTACTTTTCATCTTTGTGAAACAACGCGTATTTTTTTTTTATAAATAAGTATGTATTTCAACCGTACTGCAATATTTTAACATAATACTTATTATGAAGACGGTAACAGACGTTTTTTTTTTTTCAGAACGTAATTTAGTAAGAGTTTTATTAATCCGCTTCTGCCGGACGTGGGTAACGTCTGCGGGGCGAAAGTTCCGGCAACAAAAGCGTTTGTTTTACAATATCTTACACGAAGGATTCTGACATGTTGTTAATGTTCTAAGATACCGCATTTCTCTATTATCTACGACAATAACAATTTTAAAGAATAACCAACGTTTTAAAAAAGCAACAACCTTAAACCGTATAAAAACATTTATAATTACAGTACAGGTTGCTACAGCAGCGCCACCAAGCTACGATGAATATTTGAATAAATTGAAATGTCTCGTTACGAGAGCTTTCCGGATAATACAATAATTTATATTCACGTTAGGTGCGGATATGAAGTAATACGGTTCCTGGTAGCTTTACAATATTACTAGCGCATTAATATACATGTGAAAATAACCTATCCACTATTTCCAAACGAGATCAAAAGCGGCAAAAACCGTGGCATTGAGTAAGTTCTGATGTGTAACGAAACGGTTTACAAAACTACAGCACGCCCACAGATCCGGAAACTATACTATTTTTATATTATTATGGTCTTTAAATGTCTCAACGAGAGGCTTAAAGTTTTAGGGTACAGCAGTAAAACACTGTTGCCTATCAATCAAAAGTCTTAATTATAGCAATTTCCGTCTCGCGTATCATACATCATTACAGATCAGACGAACCTTCAATCAAATTCGTCGAACAATGGTAAACGCGGAGCTCTTTTAGCAGCATCAGTCATTACAAAAAATAAATATCGTGTTTTAATGCCCATAATATTGAATCATTACGAAATAAGACATAAACGTAAACCCCAAGAACTTCTTGTAAAGGTTATCATAAAATCTGTGACAACGTGGATATAGCAGTTTGTTTTTATACATTAATTATAAATACATAACTTAATGAATCCCGTGGTGAGTTTCAGAAACAATTTTTAGGATGTGGAAATATTGCAAAGTTGGAGGTGAAACGAGTGGTGCTCGTCTGGAAGAGATACTTACTCGCGAGTGTGTGAAACGAGTGGTGCTCGTCTGGAAGAGATACTTACTCGCGAGTGTGTGAAACGAGTGGTGCTCGTTTGGAAGAGATACTTACTCGCGAGTGTGTGAAACGAGTGGTGCTCGTCTGGAAGAGATACTTACTCGCGAGTGTGTGAAACGAGTGGTCTCTGTTATATTATTTTGGAAGCTGTGAAGAGTTAGAAAGTGCACATAACAGAACTGGTGCTCTAACGGGGTGTTTCCCGATTCCATCCAACTAACAACAAGAAACACAAGCAAACAATTAATATACCAAGAATGACTTCTTCGGCGGCCTCTTTTGTTTGTTTGTTTGTTTTTTTAATTTCGCGAAAAGCTACGCGATGGTTATCTCCGTTAGCCGTCCTTAATTTAGCAGTGTAAGACTAGAGGGAAGGCAGCTAGTCATCACCACCCACCGCCAACTCTTGGGCTACTCTTTTACCAACGAATAGTGGGATCGACCGTCACATTATAACGCCCCCACGGCTGAAAAAGGCGAGTATGTTTGGTGTGACTGGGATTCGAACCCGCGACCCTCAGATTGCGACGGCCTATAAAACACTATAAATTGTACAACTTCAAGGTCTGAATCACGTTTGTTAAGATCCATATGAAAGAATTAAGATGGTTTTTAATATATATGACATGAGTGGTCCAATTATCGTTTGTTTTTTTGTATACGATTTTATTCTTTATGAGTGAGTTCACCACAAGATGGCGTACAAATATTTTAACACTACTACTACTACTTTAGAAGATACTCGATAGCAGGACGAATACTTCATATCTCTATCAGTTTATTTTCTTAATACTCTTGCCAAAAGTATTTCACGTTACGGTGAAAACAAAAGTAACAAAATTTTGTTTGTTTTGTACACTTATTGAACTGATTCGCTGATTAGAACTTAATTCACGCGAACAGCCAATCAGGTACTCCAGATAAGAGCTGTACGTAGTGATCTGTAAATAGTTTAAGTAAATAACACTGCAGGTCTACACCCACGAATAACTAGTAATCTTCCGCACCGTGATATCTGAGTGAATGCTTTCACATTGTTGATAACTGCTTGTTTCTCCCAAACAAAACGTTACGAATGAAAACGGAGCTAAAAGAACTCGAACAAGAACTGGGCCCTATTTTTTAATTACACAGATTTTTACCGATACCAAAATATTACTAAAATAGTCACGAAAAGCTTCAATAGATATAGAAAAATGTTCCAGATGTTTCCGAGGTACGACAGGATACGAAATCAAGGCCATCAGCAAAAAAGTATGCAACACCCTCCCCCCACCCTCTTTTCTCATTCACACCACACCCAACAAGGATAACGATACAGCAAAGACTGCCGAGCCCATAGGTATTGTCCCCCCTCCCGTGTATCGGTAGGGGACCATCACATATTTATGTTTATCTGACAGTTTTTACACTCGTGTGTCAGTGCTCGACCATGAAATGATGTCCCGTCTCTACTCTTGGTGATAATGGAAAAGGTGGCGGCTTGGGTGGATATGTTTTTTTGTTTTACCTTGTTTACTTATTTGTAACAGGAAACAACCTCTTAAACGTAAAAGGTCGTGGGTGTGTGTGTGCGTCCCTAAATAAATACACTGACGAACTAATAAATCGATGGAACAGTCAGGTTTGGCTTTCACCTGATTCCCACTGGGATGAGATATCCAGATCTCAGTTTAATATTTGTTTACTATCTTGTTAATGCTGACTACAGAATTAGGCTTAGAAAAGTCGAAAGAGTCCTACTGTATATACATAGTATTATCAATGGCGTTGGATATAGAAGACGGTGTATTTAATATTATCTACGTTAATTCGCTCACATCTTATTAATTAGCCCCCAGTAGCACAGCGGTACGTCTGCGAACTTACAATGCTAGAATCTGGGTTTAGATACCCGTGGTGGGCAGAGCACAGATAACCCATTGTGTAGCTTTGTGCTTAACTACAAACAACAACAACAACAACAACCGACTCAAGCGGGATACATAATTTGCGATATATAAAAAAATACCGAGTTTTATAAAACTGTATTAAACCTCTTAAAGTTTCATTGTTTCTTCCAGAATATTCCAAAAGTTATGTATAATACAATCACTCTTTTACTTAACGAAACTTAACACAAACTAATTATCACGCCATTTGAACAACATATTTATTAAAGGTCAGACGTTGAAGTCAGAAAAAAACACGTACTTATGAAGTTTCAAAAATGACGTCACGTCACGCGCTGCGAGCTAAAAAAAATAGAATCTCGCAACGTTTACAACTTTACCGTAACGCCTTATTGTCCTAATGTAAACATTGAGATTAATGAGTACTTCGCGGACCATTCAAGCTGAACAACCTCGTGGTTACAGCCACGCCCTTTGAAGTTAGTTATCGTGAAGATTTGTGTAACTGGGTGAGAATAACACATACTACGGCGACGAGGGGGGTATTCTTGAATGAGCACACGGCTCGATTTCGACCCCCTCCTTCCCCCACATATCACTGGCAGTCTAATAGCCCCACCCTATAGTTCGGATTTCTAGTTCTTTCACACGCAAGTTCTTTTAACCATCGGTGCTTAAGGTGTCGCATAGTTTGGTCCACCCAGCTTGGTGGGTACCATTTTTGATGGCCTCCCGATTCCCCGAGTTTAGTGATTTTTTAATTAGAAATGCACCACACACAAGGTGTATTTAGGGAAAAAGATACTGACCTCTGTTCAAAAGGAAAATATTACTAGGTGCAGGAACTGATAATTGTGATTTTATTTCCCCCATTTTTTTTTTCTTTTGACGAATTTACACAACACAAAGAAAGAGTCAAGCTCGTGTCAACACATGGACAGATCGAGGTTGTCAGTAATGTTTCCAATCACGACTCTTCGTGTGGACAGAACTCTGCCTAGACAAAGAAACAAGGCCGTTTCAAGTATGTATTCCTGTTCAGAATGGAAAAACTGGAAACCTTCCACAAACAGGATGTTGAAAAAGTCACGTCAGGTCAGAGAACTGGCAAGACCAATAAACATCTGCCAAGTTTACAAACAAATTGATTCCTAATACTTTACAAAATATACATAATTAATTGGGAAAACAATAATTAGGGTGCCATAATTAGGTTATCTTAAAATAAACAAATTGAACATTAGGTGTTAAATGAACTATTTTTTTCTCATACAAACTACAATCGGATTTATTTTGTATTTGGAAAAGAAAACACTTTCATCTTTAGGCTCGAACATTCGAGTTTGACAGGAACATTCCTTTATCTATAAACTCAAACATCCGAGTTTGACAAGAACATTTCTATAGACTCAAACATTCAAACTTGACAAGAACATGCCTTCATCTTCAGACTCGAACGTTCCAGCTGATATTCCAAATGGAATCAAATACAACTTTCTTCAGTCATACATTCCTGTCTGGTTGAGAAGTCTAGATAATTTTATCGTTGAGAAAGTGCAACAGCGACAGAATTATCAGTCTTCATAGAAATGGCTATGAAACTTGCGTACAATTAAATAAAAAATTAAGTGAATCCAGTTTAGCATTTTTATTACATTTATTTTGTAATTTAAGAAAAAAATTGAAGTAGAACAATACAAGAATTAAAGGAACACCCCTTTATTTCCAAACGTAGATTATTAAACAGTTTTTAAGTAACTAGTTTGTGTTAACAATAAAACTAATAATAGTTAATTCACACGCTTATACCGTTTCATTTTAAAACGCATAGTGTCCAATAGATGGCGCCAAGAACACGACTGTACTGTTCGCAACTGTACTCCGACTGTTATTTTTGGCAACTAGTACCGAGAAAAAAAATCAATAAAAATATTAAAAAAACGCTAACAATGCAATTTTGTCATTAGACCCGCCTATTGCTACCAACCCTAACAGTGAATAACGAATTTACCAATTACTAGGTTGGTTTTTAGTTTCGCTTGCTCTGATCGGATGTTAATATTAAACTAACGATGTTAAAACTCAAAAATACATATACTTATTGGAATAATAAACCATTAAGTTTATGTGTTAAACACCGGTAGGTGACTCTTTTTACATTTATATTTCAAGAATAATATTAGCTTTTGATTCCAGACATAAAATGTTCGAATTAAAAAAAAATTGTTTTTCAAGGAAAGAACCCAATGTGAACGTCAAAAGTACGAAAAATAAGTTATAGCAGAGATAATTAACATTTGATGGTGGGTAATTATTTTTTTGAAGACTAAAGACATACTTCTTGCAAATTATATGCAAATCAGATGATGACCACACACAAAAGAAAGCTTAATATGCTTAATATATAATAATTATACAAGATTTATCAATTGGGTTTTTGCTGACGAAAATTTGAATCTAAAAAATATAACATCATTGTAATCAAAATATAAATCCAAGCACCAATACACGTATACAGATTCCAGGGAATATTACAATAAACAGAAATGTATTCATGGAATTATTGCAACCAACAGAAATGTATTCATGGAATTATTGCAACCAACAGAAATGTATTCACGGAATTATTATAACCAACATAACATGTATCCAAGGGATTATTACAATAAACATAACATGTATCCAAGGGATTATTATAATAAACATAACATGTGCCAAAGGGATTATTATAATAAACATAACATGTATCCAAGGGATTATTATAATAAACATAACATGTATCCAAGGGATTATTATAATAAACATAACATGTATCCAAGGGATTATTATAATAAACATAACATGTATCCAAGGGATTATTACAATAAACATAACATGTACCAAAGGGATTATTACAATAAACGTAACATGTACCCAAGGAATGTTATAATAAACATAACATGTTTCCAAGGGATTATTATAATTAACATAACATGTTTCCAAGGGAATATTATAATTAACATGTTTCCAAGGGAATGTTATAATTAACATAACATGTTTCCAAGGGATTATTATAATTAACATAACATGTATCCAAGGGAATATTATAATTAACATGTTTCCAAGGGAATGTTATAATTAACATGTTTCCAAGGGAATGTTATAATTAACATAACATGTTTTCAAGGGATTATTATAATTAACATAACATGTATCCAAGGGAATATTATAATTAACATAACATGTATCCAAGGGATTATTATAATTAACATAACATGTATCCAAGGGAATGTTATAATAAACATAACATGTATCTAAGGGAATGTTATAATAAACATAACATGTATCCAAGGGAATGTTATAATTAACATAACATGTACCAACGGGATTATTATAATAAACATAACATGTATCCAAGGGATTATTATAATTAACAAAACATGTTTCCAAGGGAATATTTACAAAAAAGTGTTTAAGAAAACAATACTCAGCAGAACTTGACACAAATAAAAGCTATAACTTAAAAAAAATTATATCCAAGAAAGAAAAGCATCAAACTAATAATTTCACAGATGTTTGTTTGTTTGTTTTTAATTATGCACAAAGCTACACAAGGGCTGTCTGTGCTCTGCCCACCACGAGTGTCGAAACCCGGTTTCTAGCGTTGTAAGTCCGCAGACATACCGCTGTGCCACTGGGGGGCAATTTCACAGAACAACAGGAAATGTGTAATATGAACAACATATGTTTACTGATTCCAATGTAGTACATGCAGAACACAATGTTACGAAGTAAAACGTAATACAAGTTTAAAAGAAAATTTCGAAGATTTACCTCGAACAGCCTGGGAGATCCTTATTCGATGAATACTGTTGTCTACGCCACATTCTTTGGCCAACTGCTCTTCGGACAACAGGAGCAAAGTGTCTTTATCTACACCACACTGCAACATGGGATACGTGTACTGACTAAAATCCAAACCAAGATCTTGCAGCATTTGATTTAAGTTGGTAGAATCACAGGACGAATAGTCAGCCATACGTTTTAAAAGGCTTAGCTCTCTGAGGAACCTACCGGAAGACAAACCCGAGGTCATCATTTTTGAAAATTTTATGTTTTAAGCTACCCATTTGCTTTATTGACACAACAAAATTGTTATGCTTTATGCTGATGTAAGATATTCCATTCACGTTTCTAGCCTGTGATGTGATTTAAAAACTTTATTAAACTAATCTACTAATGTATAATTGTTTCTATCTGGAATTCCTTCCAGACAGGTATCTAACCTGGAAACAAGAGGTTTCAGACAGAAATAAATCATACAACATGTAAACACACCTCAAAGGAAAAATTATTTAACAAGTAAAGAAAAACTTTTCAAAAAAACGAAATAAATGCAGGGATGGCTAACATCAATCTTTCAAAAAATAATGAAAACAAGACAGTAGGGATGGCATTTACTTCCTTGTTTGAAAAGTTTTTTTTTTCCTTTACTTGTTTGCTTGTTGTTTTTAATGCAGTGTTTCAATAGACATAGGAAGGTTGTACTTATAACCACGCTACAACTGTAATATTTATTATTTATCTATTATTGGCTGGTAATTCTTGTTTCACCCTGTACTCAAGCTTTTTAAAGGAACACCCAATTTCTGTAAGAAAGCTAACTTCGAGGGGTA